AGCTCACCCAGTCCGCCGCATCCGGCTGGTCAGGCTGGTCCGCCTGGAGGGCCACGGCGCCGCGGCCCGTGAGTCCTACCAGCGCCACGGCGAGAGCAGTACGGGACATGGGGATCAGAGAGAAGGCGGCTTTCACCAAAGAAATATATAGTGACAAGTGTTGTTTACCGGTGGAGCCAAGAACGGCTACGGATGCCCGTGCTTGATACTTCTAGCTCTTCATCTGCCGCCGTCTCCGTCTCCGTATTCATCTGTCGTGCACTACGGATTGCTTATTGCCCTGCGACTTAGCTCTTTTCTGTGTATCTATATGCACATGCCTTCGTACATCTCTGGTCCAGCTTTCGTACACAGATATACATATATATATATATATACACATACACGCGTAACTTGCATGCCTGCGTACATGTCTATGTTCTGCTGTCTGCGTGTTTGTCTGATCCTGTCTGTCCGTCGCTGCCTGTCCGTCTGCTGTATATCAAGTCCCTGTCTGCGTCTGTCTGTCTGTCTGTCTCGCTACATCTCTCGTTCTGCCATTCTCTCGTTCTCCTCATTCTCTCTCTCTCTCTCTCTTTTCTCTCTCTCTCTCTCTCTCTCTCTCTCTCTCTCTACATCTATCTCTTTATTTCTCTCGATGTGTGTGTGGTTCTCTCGCTCTCTTTCCACCAAGGTGACGCAAGATGTTCCAAGTTGCCTCAAGATGGCCTCCAGCATGCCTCTAAGAGGTCCCAAGATGGCTCTAAGACGGCTCCACCCTGCCGTCTGAGAACGCTTCCAAGAGGCCAACATCGCTCTTCATCTGCCGTCGTCTCCGTCTCCGTATTCATCTGTAGAGCACTACGGATTCCTTATTGCCCTGCGCCTCTTAGCTCTGTCGTGTACATATGCATTCAAGCCTGCCTGGTTCTGCCTTCGTGCACATCTGTATACGTGTGTATATATACGCGTAACTTGCATGCCTGAGTACATCCCTATGTTATGTTGCCTGAGTGTTTGCCTGACCATGTCTGTCCGTCGCTGCCTGTCCATCTGCTGTATATCAAGTCCCTGCCTGTGTCTGTCTGTCTGTCTGTCTGTCTGTCTGTCTGTCTGTCTGTCTGTCTGTCTGTCTGTCTGTCTGTCTGTCTGTCTCGCTACATCCCTTGTTCTACCGTTCTCTCGTTCTCTCCTCTTTCTCTCTTTCTCTCTCTCTCTCTCTCAATGTGTGCTTGGTTTTTTTTTTCTCTCTCTCTCTCTCTCTCTCTCTCTCCCTCTCTCTCTCTCTCTCTCTCTCTCTCTCTCTCTCTCTCTACCTCCACCAAGGTGGCGCAAGATGGCCTCCAGCATGCCTCCAAGAGGTCCCCAGATGGCTCTACGACGGCTCCAAGTGGCCACGCTGCCGTCTGAGAACGCTTCCAAGAGGCCAACATCGCTCGAAACCATACAGGTTGTGCGTGTGCTTCGCCTTCTCCTTCTCGTCTTTTCGTGTCCGATGGGCTCCTGAAGCATCAAGACGGCTCCAAGATCTCGCCAGAGAGCCCAAGGACGAGCCCAGGATGGCCCCAAGAAGGGGCAAAGAAGGGCCCAAGACGGCCTACATAACGCCCAAGAGCGCCCCAAGAGCGCTCCAAGAGCGCCCCAAGAGGGTCCCGAGAGACGATCGCTCGGGCTCCGACGGGGGGAACCCAACATGGGATGACCCCCTTGTTTGATCGATGTCCTGGAAGATGGTCCGAAGAGAACACCAAGAGTGTCCAGAGGGTATCCCAAAGGCATCCACAATGGCCCCCAGAGGGCCCCAACATTGCCCGAGAAGGTTCCAAGAGGCTCCCGGATCGAAAGATCCACGAAGGCATTTCTGGTTGACTCCTGGGTAAGCTCAGGCTGATCCCGAAATTCAGTTTGACGTCTGTCCCGCCCCCCAGCGTTATTCCGCTGCTTGCTCCCACGCGTCCCTGAACTCCCCTGGGCATCGCTCCTGGATGGGCGGTGGGGATGCGTGGGGTGCCAAACGCACAGAAACGTTGGAAAAGAGGAGGACTACCCCGACTCTCTGCCTCCACCTTCACCTCTGCCCGCGTCCGCTGCGCGGCGGGCACTTTCTCCGAGCGCCTCAGGCGTCGGAGGGGCCGGCGAATACCCCGACGGTCTCGTTGAAGTAGATCTGAAACGCCTCTCCCAAGCAACGAGCGCACGGGGAAAAGCCCATCCGAGGCGCCGACTACCTCACAACACACAACTGCCCCACTGCGCAGGGGAATTTGTACGCACGTGCCTTGGAGATCCTCGGCGCCCCGGGGGGGGGATGAATTCGAGTGAGCAGTTTTTGTTACTGGTGGAGCCTTGTCCTTGAACTTCTTGTTCATGTTGGCGGACCACATGTGCTCTGCGGCGGTGTCCCACTCTTCCATCGGGAACAAGCCCTTCATGCGACTGACGTCCATCAGGAACTGGTGGCGCGTAACGATGCCACCCCACGTATCCCAATTCATCTGGTAGAGCTGGATCCGCTTGTTCATCTCGTCGGTCTTGTTCTCCCAATTCCCGTGGAAGGCCTCGCCGCGAAGGGGGCGCTTCTGCGAGAGCCACTGCTCCGGGCTCCAGCCCTGCAACATGCCTTTCACGCGATCCACTGGGGTGCTGCCGTGCACCGCCCCGGGAATCACGGCGAACCTGTTGTACGGGTTCTTCTGGGGGTCCAGGTTGAACGTGTTGATGACCGAGGCCATGTAGACCCTCTCATCCGATTTCATCAGGGACAGCGCCTTGGAGATGAAGTTGGGGGCGCTGTGGGAGTGGTTGCTCCTGTAGATGCGCCACTGGGCGTCCATGTGGTACACGTACTGACCCTTGCACTGGAAGTTCTGGTCCAGGGCCATGGTGTTGACGTACATCCTCTCGTAGAAGCTGGTGTTCCTCTCGGCCTCAGGGATGGCGTAGTGCTCGAGGGCCTCCTTCAGCATCTCGGGGGAGCTGTAGTCAATGACCTTCACCCTCCACTGCGGCGCGGCGGTCGGGCAGTGGTCCCGGAGCAGCTCGGCGGCGGCCCTGGCGGTAGCCACCGCCGCGGACTTCAGCGCGAGGTCCACGCCGAACTTCGTGATGCGACGACCGCCCAGAAGCACCATCTCGCCACCCGTAACACTGTGGGGTGTAACAGCGTGGCTCGTGACGTTGCCGGGCGTCTCCGGGCCCATCTTGTCGTGGCCCGTATGCGGGGCGTCCAGGACGATCATGACGTCGCTGAAGCAGAACCGCATCGCACGAATAGAGGCGAGCACGTTACGGTGCATCTCCTGGAAGGAGGGCTGGCCCCTCTTGTGCCCGCTGCTGCGACACCCGCTCGGACCGCAATGGGTACCGTAGCTGAAAGTCACATCGCTGCCTGGGACGGACTCCCACGCGTCGACCATCTCGCTAACCTCAGTCTCGTTGAGGGGCTCTGCGAACCCCTCGAGCTCACTGCCAGCGTTGGTCTCCATCTCCGCCCTATGCGTGTTGGCCTCGACAGCATTCCGATCGAACAGTTCGGAGGCCTTCAACCGCGATTTCAGCTCCTTCTCCGTCTTGACTGCATCCGTCTTGGCAGTGTACTCGAGCTCGTCGAAATTCAGCGTGTCTCCCCAGGTGCGGAACTCCTCGGAGCTCACCCAGTCCGCCGCATCCGGCTGGTCGGGCTGGTCCGCCTGGAGGGCCACGGCGCCGCGGCCCGTGAGTCCTACCAGCGCCACGGCGAGAGCAGCACGGGACATGGGGATCAGAGAGAAGGCGGCTTTCACCAAAGAAATATATAGTGACAAGTGTTGTTTACCGGTGGAGCCAAGAACGGCTACGGATGCCCTTGTTTGATACTTCTAGCTCTTCATCTGTCGCCGTCTCCGTCTCCGTATTCATCTGTCGTGCACTACGGATTGCTATTGCCAAGTGCCTCTTAGCTCTGCTCTGTGTATATATGCATTCACGCATGCCTGGTTCTGCCTTCGTGCACATATGTATACATTTATATATACACGCGTAACTATCATGCCTGAGTACATGTCTATGTTATGTTGACTGCGTGTTTGCCTGACCATGTCTGTCCGTCGCTGCCTGTCCATCTGCTGTATATCAAGTCCCTGCCTGTGTCTGTCAGTCTGTCTGGCTGGCTGTCTGTCTGTCTGTCTGTCTCGCTACATCTCTCGTTCTACCGTTCTCTCGTTCTCTCCTCTCTCTTTTTATCTCTCTCTCTCGATGTGTGCATGGTTTTTTTTTCTCTCTCTCTCTCTCTCTCTCTCTCTCCCTCTCTCTCTCTCTCTCTCTCTCTCTCTCACTCTCTCTCTCTCTCTCTCTCTCTCTCTCTCTCTCTCTCTCTATATATATATCCACCAAGGAGGCGCGAGATGGCCTCCAGAACGCCTCCAAGAGGTCCCCAGATGTCTCTAAGACGGCTCCAAGTGGCCACGCTGCCGTCTGAGAACGCTTCCAAGAGGCCAACATCGCTCGAAACTATACAGGTTGTACGTGTGCTTCGCCTTCTCGTCCTTTCGCTTCCGATGGGCTCCTAAGGCATCAAGACGGCTCCAAGAGCGCGCGAGAGAGCCCAAGGACGAGCCCAGGATGGCCCCAAGAAGGGCCAAAGGAGGACCCAAGACGGCCTTAAGAACGCACAAGGGCGCCCCAAGAGCGCCCCAAGAGGGTCCCGAGGGACGGTCGTTTTGCCCGAGAAGGTTCCAAGAGGCTCCCGGATCGAAAGATCCACGAAGGCATTTCTGGTTGACTCCTGGGTAAGCTCAGGCTGATCCCGAAATTCAGTTTTCAGTTTAACGTCTGTCCCGCCCCCCAGCGTTATTCCGCTGCTTGCTCCCACGCGTCCCTGATCAAGGCAACTCCCCTGGGCATCGCTCCTGGATGGGCGGTGGGAATGCGCGGGGTGCCAGGAGCACAGAAACGTTGGAAAAGAGGAGGACTACCCCGACTCTCTGCCTCCACCTTCACCTCTGCCCGCGTCCGCTGCGCGGCGGGCACTTTCTCCGACCGCCTCAGGCGTCGGAGGGGCCGGCGAATACCCCGACGGTCTCGTTGAAGTAGATCTGAAACGCCTCTCCCAAGCAACGAGCGCACGGGGAAAAGCCCATCCGAGGCGCCGACTACCTCACAGCACACAACTGCCCCACTGCGCAGGGGAATTTGTACGCACGTGCCTTGGAGATCCTCGGCGCCCCGGGGGGGGGATGAATTCGAGTGAGCAGTTTTTGTTACTGGTGGAGCCTTGTCCTTGAACTTCTTGTTCATGTTGGCGGACCACATGTGCTCTGCGGCGGTGTCCCACTCTTCCATCGGGAACAAGCCCTTCATGCGACTGACGTCCATCAGGAACTGGTGGCGCGTAACGATGCCACCCCACGTATCCCAATTCATCTGGTAGAGCTGGATCCGCTTGTTCATCTCGTCGGTCTTGTTCTCCCAATTCCCGTGGAAGGCCTCGCCGCGAAGGGGGCGCTTCTGCGAGAGCCACTGCTCCGGGCTCCAGCCCTGCAACATGCCTTTCACACGATCCACTGGGGTGCTGCCGTGCACCGCCCCGGGAATCACGGCGAACCTGTTGTACGGGTTCTTCTGGGGGTCCAGGTTGAACGTGTTGATGACCGAGGCCATGTAGACCCTCTCATCCGATTTCATCAGGGACAGCGCCTTGGAGATGAAGTTGGGGGCGCTGTGGGAGTGGTTGCTCCTGTAGATGCGCCACTGGGCGTCCATGTGGTACACGTACTGACCCTTGCACTGGAAGTTCTGGTCCAGGGCCATGGTGTTGACGTACATCCTCTCGTAGAAGCTGGTGTTCCTCTCGGCCTCAGGGATGGCGTAGTGCTCGAGGGCCTCCTTCAGCATCTCGGGGGAGCTGTAGTCAATGACCTTCACCCTCCACTGCGGCGCGGCGGTCGGGCAGTGGTCCCGGAGCAGCTCGGCGGCGGCCCTGGCGGTAGCCACCGCCGCGGACTTCAGCGCGAGGTCCACGCCGAACTTCGTGATGCGACGACCGCCCAGAAGCACCATCTCGCCACCCGTAACACTGTGGGGTGTAACAGCGTGGCTCGTGACGTTGCCGGGCGTCTCCGGGCCCATCTTGTCGTGGCCCGTATGCGGGGCGTCCAGGACGATCATGACGTCGCTGAAGCAGAACCGCATCGCACGAATAGAGGCGAGCACGTTACGGTGCATCTCCTGGAAGGAGGGCTGGCCCCTCTTGTGCCCGCTGCTGCGACACCCGCTCGGACCGCAATGGGTACCGTAGCTGAAAGTCACATCGCTGCCTGGGACGGACTCCCACGCGTCGACCATCTCGCTAACCTCAGTCTCGTTGAGGGGCTCTGCGAACCCCTCGAGCTCACTGCCAGCGTTGGTCTCCATCTCCGCCCTATGCGTGTTGGCCTCGACAGCATTATGATCGAACAGTTCGGAGGCCTTCAACCGCGATTTCAGCTCCTTCTCCGTCTTGACTGCATCCGTCTTGGCAGTGTACTCGAGCTCGTCGAAATTCAGCGTGTCTCCCCAGGTGCGGAACTCCTCGGAGCTCACCCAGTCCGCCGCATCCGGCTGGTCGGGCTGGTCCGCCTGGAGGGCCACGGCGCCGCGGCCCGTGAGTCCTACCAGCGCCACGGCGAGAGCAGCACGGGACATGGGGATCAGAGAGAAGGCGGCTTTCACCAAAGAAATGTATAGTGACAAGTGTTGTTTACCGGTGGAGCCAAGAACGGCTACGGATGCCCCTGCTTGATACTTCTAGCTCTTCATCTGCCGCCGTCTCCGTCTCCGTATTCATCTGTCGTGCACGACGGATTGCTTATTGCCCAGTGCCTCTTACCTCTTGTCTGCATGCTTAAGTATATAGATATGGATTAACGCATGTCGGGTTCTGCCTCCGTGCAGATATGTATACATACATATGTATATACACTAATTATCATGCCTGAGTACATGTCTATGTTATGCTGTCTGCATGCTGTTTCTGACCCTGTCTGTCCGTCGCTGCCTGTCCATCTGCCGTATATCAAGTCCCTGTCTGTCTGTCTGCCTGGCTACATCTCTCGTTCTACCGTTCTTTTCCTCTCTCCTCTCTCTCTCTCTCTCGATGTGTGTATGGTTCTCTCTCTATCTCTCACTCTCTCTCTCTCTCTCCCTATATATATGGTTCTCTCTTTCTCTCTTTCTCCCTCTCTCTCTCTCCATAGATCCCTTCACATATTCCTCGGCACCGACCTCCTTCTCTATGAACTGCTTCAGCTGCTATCTTCAGAGGTTGAGCAGCAGCAGAAGGATTGGAGCAGGAGAAATCGAACGACGTAGATGGGATGAGAAGGAGGACGTGTCGTACGAGAGGAGAAGGATACGTGCACCTCGGAAGTAGCAGCAACAACCTCCATGACTCATGCCTCCTGCCTCCCTGCCACGATCCTCTGCTCACCCCCCTCACCCCGTCCATTAATTGTTCCTTACGAGCCTCCTGCTCCAGGACGCCAAATGTGCACATCAAATCAACCACCGTGTCCAGTGTCATAACTTCCGTCTGGAAGAAAGACTGCGCATCTAGAAATATGCCTACGCGTATCGGCCCACACGCCTGTGAACCATTACCGTCCTGCTCGCTCCACGCTGCTAGCTGAATTGTGTAGGCGCCGCAATGCTTGTTATGCCTCATCTGTGAACACCTGCACCGCGCTCTTATCAGCAGGAAGTGTAATAAAACATCTGCTGGAGCAGTCGGGGTCAGCGTGCTCCCAGATGCCTCCTCTGCCAACGCGTAGTTTGCCAAAACACATGCGCTTGCATTGCACGCGCTTGGCCCCCAATCGGCCGGGTCAATGTGGTCAGTCTTGTAGGACGACTGCGTGGTATGTAACGTGGCAAGCACGTTGCGGATGCGACGGACGGACTCTCCCCTTCATCTACTCCGACCGACCTCTTCCTCCATATCCCTTTTCCCTTCCGCTTCTGATCCACCTCGTCATCGTCATCATCCACCTCCTCCTCCTCCTCCTCCTCCTCATCTCACCACCACCACCACCACCACCACCACCACCATCATCATCATCATCATCATCATCATCATCATCATCATCATCATCATCATCATCATCATCATCATCATCATCATCATCCCCCCCCCTCCTCCTACTCCTCCGGTGGAGACGCACGTGGACGTTGCCACTGGGTCCTTCGGTTGCGCTCTCTATGGGCCGCGAAACGCTGTGCTGGGTGGGGGAGACGCATCTGGACTTTGCCACTGGGGCCTTGGCTGGCGCTCCTTGTGGGCCACGAAACGCTGTACTGCATAGATGTAAATCTTAGCTCAGCACGGTACCCATTTCTTGGATCGGCGCCAGGGCCCAGCCCTGGCGCGTTCCGCGCGCCAGGGAGAAGGGTCCAGCGCATGCTATGTTTTCTGTCATTCCTCGACTCCTCCCCCATCCCCATCCTCTCTCCTCCGTCTTCTCCCTCCCCTCACCTCCTCCCCCCCACCTTGCTCAGTCCTCCCCCTCCTCCTCCCTCCCTCCTCCCCCTTCCTGCCCCTCCCTCCTCCTCTGCTATTTCCCCTCTCCTCCTCCCGTTTCCTGCTCCTCACTTGCTCCTCCTGCTCGGAATTAGAGGCCTTCCAATTGGGCTCCGAGTAGATGGGGTCGGAGGATGGCGCTGCATCGCCGATACATCGGCGATACATCGCCAATGCATCGGCGATGCATCGGCGATGCACTGGCTGGCAACGTCGGCGATGCATCGGCGACGTCGGCGTGAAGAAAATTGGGTCCCACATCGAGCCGCATCACCGATGCATCGCCGACGATCACCGATGCATCGGCGATTCGGTGCGATCCTCCGACCCCATCTACTCTGACCCCATCTGGGAGGCCCAAAGGAATGCTAATCCTCCCACCCTCACCCCCGCGTGCCGGCTCGCAGCGGCCGGCGGGCGCCCCGTCCTGCTCGGCGGCAGCCCCGGCTGCGCGCGCCACCTTGGCGACCAGGCGCTCCGTCATCGTCGTCCTCCCGGTCCTCCTCCCCCTCCTCCTCCTCCTCCTCCTCTCCTCCTCCTCTCCTCCTCCCTCCTCCTCCTCCTCTCCTCCTCCTCCTCCTGATCATCATCATCATCATCATCATCCTCCTCCTCTCCTCCTCCTCCTCTCCTCCTCTCCTCCTCCTCCTCCCGCCTCCTCCCCATCATCCTCATCATCCTCATCATCATCCTGTCCCCTCCTGCCTCCTCCTCCTCCTCCTCCTCCTCCTCCTCCTCCTCCTCCTCCTCCTCCTCCTCCTCATACTCCTCCTCCTCCCTCCTCCTCCTGATCCTCAACCTCATCCTCATCCTAATCCGAATCCTAATCCTCATCCTCAATTTCATCATCATCATCATCAGCAGCAGCAGCAGCAGCATCAGCAGCATCATCATCATCATCACCAGCAGCATCATCATCATCAGCATCATCAACATAACCATCATCAGCAGCATCAGCATCATCATAATCATAATCATGATCACAATCAGCAGCAGCATCATCATAATCATTATCATCATCACATCGCCATCATCATCGTCACCACCATCCTCACCAACATCGTGATCAACCACCAACATCGACGTCCGTTGCATAATCGTCATCAGTCTCATCATCAATACATCACAGTCAACCCAATCACTGCCATCGACATCATCATCATCATCATCATCATCATCATCATCATCATCATCATCATCTTCATTACCATCATGACCACCAACATCATCATCCCCATCTTGGTTATCATCGTCGGCATCATCGTCATAGTCATCATTATCACCGTCAACCCCCAAAAAAACAAATACAAATACAAATATGGAAGACCGATCGTCTTCACAAAGCGGCTCTCCCCGACGCGCCGCGCTCATTCGTTTCAAAAGCTCTCAACAATCGGGGACCTATACTGACCAGGGTCAATCCAGACCCTGGTCGGTCAGGCCTTGCAGGAGCGTGCAAGATCCTGCAGGATCCTGCAGGATCCTGCGCCACAACCTGGGTCAATGCACCCCTGGCTCTGCAGGATTCTGAAAAATCTGGCGCTCTGACTGACCCCCGCTTGCATGGACCCCCGTCTCTCGAGCCCCGGAACGATTACAAGATGGAGGGCTGGTCGTCTACAGTGCGCAGCTATCGCTGGTAGCGCCTTGCAGACACATGGAAGCTCTTACCACCAGCTACAAGGATAAAGGGAGGTGGAGGAGGAGGGGGAGGAGGAGGAGGAGGAGGAGGAGGAGGAAGAGGAGGAGGACGAGGAGCAAGAGGAGGAGAAGGAGGAAGAGAGCGGGAAGGAGGAGGAGGAGGAGCCGGTGCGTTTTCGAAGTGCGGCTGGCTCCTGGGAATTCCTCGAAGCTTGATGGCCAAAACCTCACAGCACTCACACTTTTGGTCTGCGGGGCGAGAGCGAACCTCTTCCGGTAAAAGCACAACACTCACACAGACAGGGGGGCACCTTTCCGTTTTCCAACAGGGGCCCGCGACCCAGCGCCGCGCACGCAGCATGCTTTCAGTCATTTCGCCGCTGCACGGGTGGAGGCTGGCTCGTTGCCGAAATGCGGCTCGAGGTTCCGAATTGTGCACGAAGGCCTCGCGGATGGAGGGCGGCTCCTGCAAGGCCACGTAGACCCGGACATCCTAGACACGGACACCCAACATCCCTCGAAACCAATTCTTCCAAACGGCGGTACGAACAAAATACTGCACTGCAGCAGTTTCCAGAATAAACCCGGACACAGGCCCCAAAAGCCTGCAAGACCCCCCTGAACCCGGACACAAACCCGAATCCTGCAGTGCAACAAACAAAACATGCACGGGTGCTGAAAAACGTGACTTTGCAGGAAAGGATGTCGTTTCCTTGGTTTTCCGTGTCCTGGTTTATCTGTGTCCTGGTCTCTGGGGGCCTGACTATTCAAAATGTGGCTCTCGCCGGGTACGACCATCATTTTGAAATCGTGCAGAATTTACACAGATGGAAAGTCGATGCTTTTCAAAACGGGCCAATCGCTGGAACAGTCTTTGGATTTCATCATCCTAGCCCTTCGCGCTCCTTTTCGCCGAAAGGACGTAGGGGTGATCCTTTACAAAACGGGGTCTCGCTGGAGTGGCAAGAACACCCGGCAGTCGCTGTTCAAAGCGGACGCTTTCCGCAATGAAATGGAATACTTGCCGGGACTCATGGAGAGGGGACTTGGGACGGGTGGGTGTACTGCATCGTCGCGCCACAATCTGGGTTTACGCTGGTCCTCTTCCTTACCTCCTCCTCCTCCACCTCCTCCTCCTCCTCCTCGTCCTCCTCCTCCTCCTCGACATCCTCCTCCTCCTCCTCCTCCCCCTCCTCCTCCCCCTCCTCCACCTCCTCCTCTTTTCCCTCCCGATCCCCTTCCCCCTCCTCCTCCCCCTCCCTCCCCTCGTCCTCGTCCTCCTCCTCATCCTCCTCCTCCTACTCCTCCTCCTCCTCCTCCTCCTCCTCCTCCTCCTCCTCCTCGAGCATTCCTGACGTCCTTCTTCCCTCCTTCGGCTAGGCGCGCCACATCGGGCACCCCAGGCGGCGGCGGCGGCCCGATCGTCGCCCGCCGCCCGCCCCGATGGCAGCAAGGGCAGCTAAGGCCACAAAGATAGGAGGAGGAGAAA